GGTGCGTCCCGTGTCCGTCCCGTGTCCGCCCCGCCGCCTCCCGCGCTCACCCCGCCGCGGGCGCCTCTGCTCCAGAGCAGGGCAGGAGCCAGAGAGAGCCGCTGAGCGCGCCAGGGGCAGTGCGGTAACTTGGAGTGCGGGGATGCCGTGGGGACTCGCGGAGCTGCAGAAAATCCGTGTTCTTGTCCCCAGCTGTTCCCTGGGCCGGGTGGCAGCTCCCCCAAACGCACTGCAGTCCTCGAGCTCAGAGATCATCTGGAGTTGGGTGGGGAAGAAAACTGGAAACTTGGGTCTTGAGTCGCACGGTGGCAAAGAACTGGCAAACTGACATTGAAATTGTTCTGTCTAAACGGAAATGAACTGTTGCCGTCAGGGAGCCATGGTCCGTTCTGCTGCCCCGGGCCCAGCACACACAAGCCCCGGAGCTGCACTGTTAATGGAGAGCAGAGCTGAGCTGTGTCCCCCAAGCACTGCCATGAGAGATTCCCATCCATCCACCCGTTCCCATCCATTCCATTCCTACACCAAGCCACAGGAGACAGATGCTCCCACTCCACACCCCAAACCTGTGAGTCTGTCAAAAGGTGACCCAACCTTGTGCCCTGACGGCCCTGCTGACAGACAGACATTTACTGCAGATGCCAAGACAGGAATGACATGGATTATGATAAAAGAAGGATCTTGCTCTTTATGGCCCCAAGCAGAACCAGCCCAGCAAGAACATGGCTGTTTTGAGTGGGAGCAGCAGCCAGCAGGAATTACTGGGATGTCTGCAGGGCTGCCAGTGCTGAAGCCCCAGAGCCTAAAGTTGTCCCAAAAGCTGGACTTTCAGCTGAGCAGGGAGTGCAGGGTCTGGTATGCAAGGGGACTGAAAAACAGCCTTGTGCTTGCTCTCTTGCCTGTTCTGGTATGTGACGTGCCACTTCCTTTGGGACAGGCGGGAAGTCAAACGCGAATGCAAGAGCCCTCACTGTGTGGGGTGATGCAGTCTCCAGACTTGGTCCCACATGGACTACCTCCCCCTGCCTGTGGCATGTGAGAGCTCAACTACAACTCAAAACAGAAGAGAGCAAGATGCTTTTTAGCTCAACCTTTCTCCGGAAAAAAAACAAAAAAAAACCAAAAAAAAAACCCCGGAACCGCCTTCTGTAGGACAAGCTGGAGAAGTCTCAGCCTCTCACATCTCTCCTTCCAAGCCCCAGCCTGTTCCAGCTGGCAGCTCCCCTGCGTGCTGTGGCCACCAGCATCACAAACAGGGCTGGAGACCTTCCCAGGGCAAAGGATAGGAGACCCTGTGACCCCCAGGCTTCCTTCGTAGGTCATTGCTTGTGTCACATCTTCCCCACATCTCTCGGTGCAAGCCTGGATGGGCCTAGTCTGCAACTTGGAGTGACAACTCTCCTCTGGACTTCAAGGTTTTCTCTGAAGCATTTCTGGGGGTTCTGTTGTCTCCATTTCTTCATTTTGCTCTCCCTATCCAACAGATCAGCAGAGGAAGTCCTTGGGAACCATAAACTTCCCATGGGAAGGCCTCAGTTACTGGAGCTGCAGTCTGGGTGGCACCAGGGACTCTGGCTTAGATGACACTGAGCAGGGCCCTGGGCCTTGTGGGCTGCCAGACACTCTCCATTGCCTCTGGCAGGACTTTGAACCCCAATCACCACTCAGTCCACAGTTTCCACAGGAGGACGAGCCAGGATAGCCTGGGATGTTGATGCTGGCTTCCCAGGTCGGCAAGCTCTAATTCCGCCCTCTATCAGTCTTTTATCCTTCTTGGTTCCCTCCATCCTGCAAAACTATGTATTTTCATAGAATCATAGAATGGTTTGGGTTGGAAAGGACCTTAAAAAGCTCATCTTGTTCTAATCCCCTGCCATGGTCAGGGACACCTTCCACTCTCCCAGGTTGGTCCAAGCCCCACCCATCCTGGCATGGAACACTTCCAGGGACAGAGCAGACACAGCTTCTCTGGGCAACCTCTGCCAGGGCATCATCACCCTCTCGACCAAGAATCTCTTCTCAACTAATCTAAACCTGCCCTCTTTCAGTTTAAAACAATTCCCTCTTGTCCTGTCACTCCAGGCCCTTGTCCAAAGTCCCTCTCCAGCTCTCTTGGAGACCCTGAGAGCACTGGGAGGGGCTTTAAGGTCTCCCTGAAGTCTTGTCCTCTCCAGGCTTAACAGCCTGGATTCCTTCAGCCTGTCTTCACGGGAGACAGCCCTGTGAGCCTCATTTTGGTCAATGAAGTCCTGTGCAGGGATAACACAGCCCCAAGCTGACTCACAACCAGGCAGAGTGGCACGAGACCAGGGCTCCACCAGCACAGCCCTGAGACCGAGCACAAGCTGTTCCCAGCAGTGCTAATCCAATTACAAAACAAACTTCCTTCCTCCATTATCAGGACCTGCAGTAAAAACTAAACCAGCTAAACCAGCCCAGCGATTATGGAGGGCTTAGTGAGGGACTAGCGATCAGGCAATGAATGACAGAGCTGTTTCACCTTCTGGGAGGAGGAACACAACACGGGCAGTTGGGAGGACAAGGGGAATTGCTGGAACAAGTGGATTAGGAATTATTACAAACAAAGGTCTTTGGTCTAACTTTATGATCCCGACAGTTAACCTTACAGCCACATAAGGTTATTCCCCAACTCTTGTCCTTCCTGGGGATTAGCATCCTTATGAATGGGAATCCCTGTCACTTCTCTAGCCCTGCTGGATGCCTGCCCTCACCCACCCCATTCCCAAACAATGCTCACTTCAGTCACAGGATGGCAAAGGCAGCACTAAAATACCCTTTCAAGAGTTCAGATTTTCTGGAGAGCTGTTCACCTCCCACCACTGAGGATGCTAGAACTGGAGTCACATATTTTTGGTGGTCAGGACAAAGGAAGGGGTTATTTCCCTTTATTTGGCATTGGTGAGACCACACCTGGATACTGTTTCCAAGTACATGAAGAGAGGAAGAGAGTCAGAGTCCTGCTGAGGATGGTCAGGGGCAGAACAAGGGAGTTTCACTTCTTCAGCCTGGAGAAGAAAGGTCTCAGGAGGGATGTAATTCCCACAGCAATGATCAGGAGCCACTTTGCTGAAGCACTTGGACACACAACCCAGCTGCAGGGCAGTCCTGCTGGTCCAGGACTGGTTCTGGGGGGCTGGTGCAATGCACACAGATCTCATTTCTCTCATCCCTGTGCTCAGTAGGGATGCTCCTGAGATGGAGCCAGGCTGCTTGAGCAGGATTTCACCGGAAGGCTGCAAAGCCAGCACTGGCTCCCAGGCAGTTTACCCTCTGCCAAAGCTCCTCAAGAAAACAGTCCCACACTGTGGGGAGCTGCCCAGACACAAGAAGCCTCTTCTTTCCCACCCTCAGCCTCCAAGGCGGCAGAAGATCCCCCATGACCAGCTGTTCACTGGAGCCATCAGGGCACATCAGGGCTCCTACATGGCACTTGAAACCTTCTAAGTGCAGAAAGGGCACCCAGCAGCATCGCTGCAGATTTCTGTATCTCCAGCCCTTCCTGCGGGCTCTGGGAGATAAAAAAAGCCCTCCCACAGGAGTCACCTCCATCCCCACTGGACAAAATGCTTCTCTGGGATGGAGAGAGGCAGCCAGAGCTGCCAGCAGCCAAGTGGGCTGTAGGGAGACACCGACCAGCTCAATCCGCTGCCTTTTAAGGAGCGGCAGAGCCTGAGGCATCCTGGAACAACCCACCACACTTCTGCAGGCACCGGATCACGGGATGCATTCACAGACCACACTGACCGTGCCCCATGGCCCCCACAGCAGCTCAAAACTGTGCAGGGCAGCCAGGACAGCCATCTCTCAGCTAAGATCGAGTCTGAAAAACCACAAAGGCCCAGATGGCAGAGCAGGGTGCAGTTCTGCAGTGGCAGCAGAACTCACCCACGCACAGTCCACACAGTGCTACCCATCACCTCAGTGCCCCCGCAGCAACCAGCAGGGACAGCTTCTGACTGGCAGCAGGCAGAGGGGAAGATAATGCTTTTTCACAAAGCCTTCATCAAGCCACTGCTAAGTCATCCCACCAATGCCCGAGGGCTTTGCTGCACTAACAGAAAAGGCTTTGCTGGTCCAGCAGTGAATTTGCTGCTGTCATCCCCCCCCCCAAGAAAGCAGAGGGGAAAGGCAATGTGCTGCTGGGGAGTAACAGCAGGATGGAGCTTAGGGTGAAGCATGGATAGAAGAAATGTATGTGCACGAGTGTAGGAGCAACACCAGGAACAAGGTTAAAAGGCGAGGTATGTATGAAACAATACAGAGCACCAGAGAGACATTCAGCCAAAAAAAGGAGCAAGCTGGCCCAAAGACAAGTGTCAGGAAGACAAACAACAGGACCAGAGCCTGTAAATTCTCAGAGGAGATCAGGAGCTCTGTGAAATTCAGGGACTTTGTGTAAGATTCAGAGAGGTGAAGGAAAACAAGAAGGCAAAAGATCCCAAAGAGTACTATTCTACAGGGAGTAACAGGCAAGTCCAAAATCAGCTCATCACTGCCCACAAAGGGTCTCAACAACATGGCAAGGACACGACCTGTGTCTCAGAGGAGTGCACTGGCTCGACAGGCATGCCAATCTTGGTCTATGCAACAGCACAGGGAAAATCAATTCCCTTAAAGCTTTTGTATAACAAAATTTCCCTTTCCACTGTTTTGCTGCACTGATCCCCCTCTTGTGGTGGGATGTGGGCACACAGTCCCATGAAGCAGGAGACAACCATGCACCGCTTTATTAGGCAGTGGACACATGGCCAAGGCCAGTCACTATTTACGTTTGGCAAAGGATGGCAGTGAGTACTGAGCACCGGTGCAGTGAGGGCAGCCTGCCTCGCACCCTGCATGCCTTTTGCTGGCTGCAGGCAGGTCCTGCTAACCCCTGCCAGCCTCCTTACCTGCAGGCACAGCTGTTTTGTCTCTCATGGGCAGAGCTAGGCACCCTCATGGAGCCCCGTCCTCACACACACTTCCCCCCTCCCTGTACTCTCCAAGGTCCCAGCTCCAGTCCTGGCATCCCAAGCTCTGCCAAGGAGGCAGGTGTGGAGGTGTGGACAGCTGGCGTGCCCCACCCAGCTCCTTGCACAGGGGCTCCTTCCAGTGCCATGCCAGCACACAAACCAGTGCAAGGGAGCCCCGGGAGAGCAGGACGAGGGGCCTGGCTGCAGCAATCCCCAACAGCACTGGCTGTGCCCAGCGAGCTGACGGTCTGGAGCCCATCCTCGGCACGGCGGCGCTCAGCCCTGTGGATGGGCCAGTTTTGGGTGCACCCAGCCTTGAGCCTGGCTCGTGAGGGTGATTACTATAGGGTACGGATAGCCACCGGGTAAAGCAAGGACATGTGCTCAGCCCCCTTGATGGGCAGCTTGCGGCTGGCGTAGTGATGGATGATCTCCGGCACGCTGTCAAAGGGCGGGCTGTGTTGACCCAGCACGTACTTGTTCTCCTGTGTCCGGGACAGTTTCATGTGCATGAAGCCCTGGCTGCTCCTGCAAGGACAGATCAAGGCAGGGTTAGGGGGTACAGTTGGCCTAAGCCTCCCCTCATCGCCTGACCCCCTGACACAGGCAGCCTTCCCCCGCAGCTGAGGGGGACATAGCTGGCCCCTGTCTGCAGCCACAGCCCTGCCTGCACCATCCTGCTCCTGGCTGACTCCAACAAAGCCCACAGAGCAAAAGAGGGACACGTCCCGTGATGCTGCACTGTGTCCCCTTGGGGAGCAAGGCCATGCTGGGCTGTGTAGGGCCCATCTGGGTGTGTGTGAGTAGGGAAGACATCACCTGGGTAAGAACAGCAGGGGCACTTGCTGTAGGGTCACGGAGGGGTAGTGGATTTTGCTCCTTGCATGTTACAAAGCCCCTTTTGCAACTGCTCTGGCCCTCACAGGAGCCCCTCAGCTCCCAGATCTCCAGCCTCACTGTGGCAAACCAGGTTTTTCTCCTTTGGCCCACAGCCAAAGGATTTTCTCCTTCCCCCTCTCCCCATGCCACCACTGCAGGCTCCATAAAACCCGCTCAGTGTATCAAGACCATTTCCCAGCACAGCATGGGCACCAAGCCACACAGGCAAATCCTGCCACAAATGCTGATTCCAAGTGACGGACTAATGGCCCTGTTGCTATTAATTTGCGTCTCCAAGGAGAGCCACAGCCTGTCTGCAGTGTCTGGATTGCACATTACGGCAAAATATTGATGACTTAAAAGCAGACAGGACCTCATCAGTGATGCTGAGCTGCTTCTAGTGCTGCACAGCCTAGCCCCATCCCCCCGGCTGGAGACGGGCCATAATGGACAGCCCAGCTGCATTAGCAGAATGGGTTTGCAATCCATTTAGAGACAGAAGCAAGGAGCCAGCTGTCCTGGGAGACAGCCACAGCCCCCCAATATGGGCTGAGGAAAAGCAATAGCTTGGCTGCGTCTTGTGTCCCTGTGGCAGGGAACTGCAGTGCTGCCACACCGAACCATGGAGAGATGATACTGGTTGTGTTTTTCCCAAATTGATCCACAGATCTTTGTCACAAGCTCAGGGATGTGATGAGATCGTACCCCTGGAGAGATGACTGAGGGAACAGGCTGCAAACACCAGCAGCCAGGACAAGGGGAAGGTGCTGCTCCTGCTGAGCACCTTTGCAGGCACAAGGAAGGACACAAAGCTTTGCAGTGTGGCCTCAGCCACTCTGGTGGAGGCACAAGCCAGGAGGGACTCTCTCCAAGCATCTGAGGCAATGACATGACCCTGTCCATGACAGGCAGCGTGAGGCTGCCTAGCCTGGACCAGCCAAGACTGTCATGGCGGTGTTAAATCCTTCCAGCTACCTGACCTGCTCCTGGCTGCTCTCTCTTGTGCATATTTTCCTTTAAAGCAACACCAAAGAACTTTAGGTCAGCATTGGAACACTTTTCAGACCATCTCCTTGGCTGCGCCTCCTTCCTCAAGGAAAAAAAAAAAAAAAAAAAAAAAAAAGTTAAAAAAAGTAATAGAGAGAGCTGCAGACAGCCAGCTTACAGCTATATTAAAAGCATCCCAGGAGATTTTCTTTGAACAGGCTCTACAGAGAAAGGCAATGGAATAAAAATCCTGCTCCTGGGGCAGTGGGTTCTCCACAAACTCTGCAAGGACAGGCAATGCCCAAGCAATTCCTTGATGGGCTGGGGAAGGTGGGATATTGCTGCACACCATGGCCTAGCCATACATGCTGTCTGAGAGGAGGATTTTGCCTTAAGACTAAGGATGATGGCAAGACACAATGGAATAGCCACTAAGAAACAGGTGACTGGCTTGTGGAGAGGTGATGGAAAGCCACCTTTGTTGATGGAATGCTACCTCCCAGGCTCTCCTACATATGTGCTGGCTAATGCCACTCACAAGTTGAAGGTGAGACCTCTTGCAGCTTCAAATCCAGCTCACCAAACAGAAGAAGCTGTTGCTCCAAAATGGCTCACAAGCCAGAGCAAGGGAAAAACACAGCAAATTAAAACATCGGTAAAAATTCTGACAGAAAAAAAACCAACAAAAAAAGGAAAGGAGGGAGCTCTTCTAGAAGAGTGTGTTGGCTCACCTGAAAGCTCTAAATGAAGAAAGAAGAAAGTGTATTTTCAATGGAGCTCCTGCCCTGGTTTGGTGTTGAAGGCAAAAAGAGTGAAAAAAATGTGGAGAGAGACAAAGCAATCTAATTCACAATTGTGCCACTGGGAAACAGAGAGGCTGAAACCCCTAGGGAGCAATGCAGGTAGAGAGACCACTGGGGAAACTCAAGGTGTGCTGAGAAAAGCGTAGGGTTACAGGGCCTGTTTTTGGGCAGAGATGGCTGAAGTGCTCAGTGAATGTTTGTTTCCCGTCTGGCAGGAATAGAGCTAATATAGCAGTCCAACAGAGGAGCAAGGAGGTATTTGCTCATCCATCATCATCTTCAGACAGTAACAGCTTTGATTTTGTGGATTCATGCTGCCCCAAAAGCCAGGAAAGAGCTGGATGAGGAGCTGTGGGCAGTTCCCCGGGACACATGCAGAGATGCTTCACCTGACTTTGGTTTTCAGAGAATCTGGAAAACTTGGAGAGTATGTAAAGATTCCCAAAAAAAAAACCAAGCAGAAATCAAGTTGTCTTGTGGGGACAGGGTTTCTCTGCTGGCAAACCAGAGCAGGGTAAAGCCGTTTCTACAGCTGAGCAATGGATCTGTGGGCTGGGGAGGCAAGGATGGGTCCCCACATTTCCAACAACAATGACCTTGTACAAACTTTCTTTTCCAATGAAACTAAGCTACAAAAAAAAAATGGGGAACAAGAAAACAGAGCTGGAAGCTGGAACCAGACATATTTGACTGAGAAGTGAGGCACATAATTTGATCCGTCTGAGAGATTATTAGCACTGCCAAGGAAGAGCAGTGAGCCTCCAGATCTTCCTGAGAGATGTTTTTGCCAGACACCAAATCAAAAACCTGTGCCACACCACAGGGAAGTGTGGACTTCTTCATACTGCAGCCATTTCTGCCCACTCGTGGTCATCTCATTAGCCAGTTAGCATGGGCACAAATCACTTGGGGCACCTGTTCACCTCTGCTGTGGGTCCACCATCCCCCAGCCCTCACTCACTTCAAGGAGAGGGAGAAGTCGTTCTTGCTGGTCTCGCTGTTGCGCACCAGGTAACTGGCCTCCTTGCACAGCCTCAGCAGCGTCTCCGCATCCGTGCGGCTGATGGCCCCGTGGTACCAGCTGGAGGGGGAGAGGGATTGGCTTTGCTGGCCACAGAGCAGACACCACAGGAAGGGCTCTGCCCTGAGGCAGCAGCAGTGCCAGCACCCTCAGCACCTCCCCAGGGGCACCTCCCCAGGGACTGCAACCGCATTCAGGGAGAGGGAAGGGGGTAGCACCACGACGGTTGGGAGACAAGGGGCAGGGACAAACAGGCTGAAATGTGGAGCCAAGGAAGAAAGGAAGAAGCAAGTCTGCCCCAGGGCTCCTCATGGTATGGCCACAGGGTTCCCCAGTGCAGCTGGAAGGGTTGGGAAGGCACTCCAGGCAGGCAGGACTCACCACTGGCTCTCCAGGGGCAGGGCAGGGTCAATCCTCTCCCCGACAAAGGGGCCAGGCTCAGCGGTCAGCGTCTTTGTGCTCTTGAGGCTGCTGGAGCCATGCCTGAGGACAGCCCTGGCCTTCTCCTCCCTGCAGGGCGAGGTGCGGCCGTACCCCAGCCCCTCCGATGGACCTGCAAGACAGACACGCATCACATGCTGGGATCCTAACCTTCTCTGGCAGGAAGAGCCAGAGCCACTTACTTCACACTGGGTCACCTCACACTGCCCCATCCTCCTGGTCTAAGCAAGGGCAGGGCAACTCTTGGGCTGCTGCTCACTGCAGCACCCAGGCTGGGTCCCCACCTTGCCAGGCCTGGAGCCAATTACTGTGCCCATGGAAGACATTTCCAGGGATGTTTCAAAAGCTCAGGAGGTTTTGCTAATACAAAAATAGATTCAGTGGCTGTGGCACAGAGTTAAGTGAGATGCAGCAAGAAGAGGTTTCCCTTTCTTCTAACAGGAAAAAATTAAATTTAAAAAAAAGAAGAGGGGATAGATGGAGCTAAAGGAAGCAGTCAGTTTGGAAGCGATGGACACATCTCTATTGGCACAAATAAACATGGGGTGAAACAACAATTCCCCAAGGTGGGAAGGAGATATTTTGACTGCAGGTACCCTCCTGAGGCTGCCACCTGCCTGTCACCAGCCCAGCCATGGCCATGAGTGTGAGGGATTGACCGAGCCGTGCCCCAGGGACCTGGCCTCCCACTGCCTGTTATTTCTACACAGGATGATTTCAACATTAACAATATCATTTCTCCTTCCTCCCAAGAGTTCATTACTGCTCCCTGTACCACCAACCCCCTTGCACAAATTACTTATCGATCAGGCAGAGCTGTCACAGTGTGGGGCTGACACTGTGGCAGCACAGTCACCCCATTTCTGGTGGCTGAGCCCAGAAATGCCCTAGGACTACTAGAATGTCCTAGATAGGAGAACTCTCCATGCTTCCTGGCTGCTGGAGGGGGAGGCAAAAAATAGCCAGAGGGATGCTTTCCTCTCTAGCAGGGCATCCTCTAAGGCAGCTGTTTGAGTGACACGTTGTCCAGGCCCTATGCAGGTGAGCAGGATTCCAGCCCCACCAGCACTGCAAGAAGGGGAGGGCAGCCAAAAGCAAATCCAGCCAAAATCCTCTGCAGCTTAGTATGGTGTAAATCACCATGAGCACAGCTCAAGGAGGAGGTGCCTGGCATTATGGTTTGATAAGCCCTGCTTCTGCAGTACTCTGGCTTTTCACCAACCATGCTCACCCTTGTACATCACACACAGGCTTCAATTTCAACTCATCACCTTAAAAAATTGGGGCAACCGTTAAAAAGCCAGACAATCAAACAGCCCAAGTGTTTGCTGGCGGCACAAAGTCATTGCGTTACGGGCTCAAAAGAAATACATTGCACCTGTCAGAAGGAGACAAAGGCATGTGCATGATTAAACAGGATATTAAGAACAAGCCCTTAGCAGGAAGAAGACATCCTTCAAGACATTCGAGTCACCCCCAGAGAAGGGAAATAGAAAATGACACAAAACTCATAAACTTAACAACAAGAAAGCAAGGCAAGTCAAAGGGAAAAAAACTGTGCTGGTAAAACCAGGAAAAATGACAAACTGATGTGTTCATCATGTCAGAGCAATTGTGGGGATAATAAATGATGGGGGGAAAGAAGAGGCTGCATAACAAAGAGATTAATTTTTCTTGACACCTGCACTCGTTGCAGGAAGAGGATCAGAAAGTTCCTGCCTGCCAAGACCTTTCTTCTTGAGGACTGATCTCAGCCTGCAGCATCCCTACAGATTTCGGAAATACCCAACAAAGCCCTGGCAGAGCAGACACTTTGCTCTCGAGTGCCTCCACCATCAGCACCAAAATAAGCCATCACCTGCAGCGTGTGCTCAAGCCCACCCAGGAGACAGCAAAGGCCACACTAGCTTTATCTTATGAAGCTCTGCAGGGATCTGGGTAACTTCAGATAAGGAAATCAGACATCTGCACCTGGTAAGTCACTGTGCCCGCCCTGACAGCGTTAGTGACACACAGGCAGCATGGCACGCTGCTACACAGGAAAAGGCATACCTCACATCTCAGTTCCCCACTGCTAACAGTCCAGTCATGGCTTTCCACAACGCCTCTACCACCTAATGTTCTTGGCAAAATCCTAATTCACCACAGCATAAGAGCAAGGTCCTTAAAATATTAATAACGGGTTAAAAGAGAAGCAGCAATATTTGGCTTTCATAAATGAGACTGCCAGCAACATCCAAAGGGGATTTACCCAGGAACTCTCTGCTCAGCACACACAAAAAAGGCTTCACAACAAGGCAAACCTGAGATGACAAAGTGTACCTGGGAGATTTGGCTGCTCAGGATAGCAAAAAGCGGAGAATCCACAGGGACCTCCTGACACTAAGCAGCAAGGTAATAAAACAGCAGAGGAAACAAAGCTGTGCTAAATGATAAAGAGGAGAAAAAACAGCCCAAATTTCAGCACTGAATTAGCTGCTAACACACCTGTAAGGGACCTGGGCATTAGAAGTCTGGAGAAAACATTAGCTAAATACTCAGTGCAGTTGCTGAGAAGACCTTAAAAGCAGCCATTTAAATGTCGGGAATTTGGAGGCAAAGAGGAGAGAACAAAAGAGACAGTAATGACTCTGCCATGCCATGGAATAAGCCCCCAGAGCTGCTCTGCTGCTCGGGGCAGAGGCAGGAAGAGCTAGTGTCCCTTTGCAGCAAGAAGGTGCAGCAGGACAAACACCTCGTGTCCAGCACATGACAACTGAAGGGGCCAGGAGGAGCTGGGGGAGGGCGGAGGAGGAGGAGAAGGAGGAGGAGGGTTTCTGGCACTGCCCGGGGCAAGCCCCAAGGCACCACAGCGGTCTAGAGTAACAGCAAGCACCGGCTGCAGCCCCCCCCCCGGACACGCCGCTGTCATGCAAGACCCACCATTGGCGTCTTCGTGGCTGTGCTGCGGAGGGATGGGGGCACCAGCCTCCCTGTCCAGGGGGCTTTCACTGCTGTCCAGCTGTCCCACCGGCGGGGGCCATGGCAGGTCTTTAATGACCTTGATTTCAACTGGATGGGGGGTGGGGAGGGTGTGGGAAAGAGACAGAAGGAGAGAGAACAGAAGGGGTTTAGAGAAAACCATCAGCAACACTAGAGGCCCACAGAGAAGGAGAGCAGTTGTTGGGGGAGAGACCTGAGGACTCTATTCCCAGCAGCCCTACACCAGCTTGGCCATCTCATCCCCTCCACAGTACCGAGCAGGGACAGGCCTGAGGTGGGGCACATTCCCAATGGAGACACCCTGCTCATCCATCAGTTTTTCCAGCCAGCCCTCTCTGGGGTTTGGGGGAGCCTGCAATCACCCCGTTCCACAAAGCTGTCTGTCCGGGGGTCTTGGCCGAGCATCTCATTGCCATCTGTCCTGCCTGTGCATCTGTCATGCCCTAGGTACTTCCCAGTGACCCACAGGGTCCACATTCCCCTGCCAGGTACCATGGGTTGCAGCCCTGTGCCAGTAGCAGCTACCCATCAGCAGGGGTCCCATGGACACCCTCAGACGGGGTAATGGGCCAGCAGAGACATTTTGGCATCACTGGAGAGAAAAAATACCCAAGAAACAGCAGAATCTGCTCTGGCTTCAGAAAAAAACAGGCAGCAGGTCCAAGCATGGCCCAGGGAACAGCGACCTGACTCCCCTGGGACTCGGAACAGGCCTGAAACGCCCTGGGAAGCACCCACATGCATCTATATGTGAGCCAGACCTGTGAACACACCACCTCCACCCAGGGAAATCAAGCAAGGTGGCTCATCCAGAGCACAGACACCTCAGCACAAACCCAGCCCAGCAGAGCATGGTGTTCCATGATGGAGCCTGACACGCCGATGAATCCTCAGCACAGGCAGCTGTGGGACTTGGGAGCCCCGAGCACAAGGAGGCACTGTGGCACTGAGCCTAGCACACATATCTCCAGTTTGCAGTGCCCAAACCCAAAAGGTGAACCGCTCCCCAACCCCAAATTTCCACATCTCTCTCTGACATCATCTCCACATAGTGCCACCAGCCTGAGCACCCTCAGCACCAGCTGCAGCAGACACACAATGCTGCAATTAAAATGCATCCTAGATAAGAGCACAGCAATTAGCCAGCACCGGCAAGGAGCCAGTGCTAATGCACAGCATGGACTTCCTCATTACCAAACACAAACACAATTGATCCCACAGCATGGATAAATAGGTCAGGGGGGCTGGATGCAACCTGAACAAAGGCTCCTTGGGTATCCTCCTGCCCTGAGGAAGGAGGAATCTGCTTGAGCCTAGGGTTGAACCTACCCCTGCAACACAAGGTTGAGGGTGTTACTTTGCACCAGAGGCTCAGATTGGTCAGAGCACGGAAGAGACAATGGGAGATAGGTGTTGTAGAGGTTAGCAGGGCAGCTCTATCCATCACTCTGTCCAGCCTGGCTCCCTGCTCAGAGAAACAGCTGCTGCAAGAACACAAGCACTCCCTGAGCTATGGAAATGCAGAGACCAACATTACTGATCCCCAGAAGATGAAGGAACCCCAAAGATCCAGCTTCACAAAACATGTTGTTTGCTTTATGGCTGTTCCCGTGACTCACCTGCAAAGGCTTTGGAGATCCTCTCCTTCTTCCATTCCCAGGGCTGGTCATATTCCTCCGGTGGCCGCTCATCATCCTCGGGCAGCCGGGACTCCCTGGGCCTGGGGCAAGCTGGGCAGTCACTGTCCATGTCCAGCACAGGCTCATAAGGAGTGTCATAGAGGTGAAGCGGCCGGGCGGGAGCCTCCCGTAAGCCCTTCTGGCGGATCTCTACCCAGAGAACAGGGAAAAGACTATGAGCCTTCTGCCCAACACAGCCATGGTCCCCAAAACTGTGCTAGATGACAGGGCTCAATGCCACCTGTGGGTAAAGCAGGCTAGAGAGCATCAGCAGAAGAGGAGACAGCGAGCAGCTGCCAGAAGCAGGAGAGCTGCTTGGCAGCACCAAGATCCCCACAGTACCATACCCCCACTCCTGGGCAGCCTGGCAAAATGGGGTCCATGGGGACAGAGTACCCTGAGGCTGATTTCCTGCAAGCAGTGAGGCTGGGTCTCTCCCCTGCACACCCAGTGAGGCTGGTTTAATAAAATGCCCTTCCCTCAAGCAAAACAAACTCTCTCCCACAGGCACAAGCAGCCTCTCCACTGCTTGCCAGTTTTTCCAAGAAATATAATGGTCTACTTCAAAAAGCCACATGAGCTTTCCAGAAACCACTTGCTCCAGGAACACCACAGAGCTGCAAAGCAGAGCCAGAGCCAGCATGGTGACCCTGAGCACTGCCTTCAGGAGCACATGCTCTCAGCCTTCCAGCTTTCCAGCCTTAGACAGGCCCACTGGGGACCACGCTGGTGCAGCAGACACAGCATGCTCTGGCCCAGTCCTAACTGAATTAAATAGCTCCTACATCCATCTTAGCTTTAAGCCAGATGCATGGAATGTAGGGTCTCTCCTGGCTCAGCCTGGCAATTGGGGTCCTGGGGGAAAGCATCATGGGGAGACATGTGCCTGTAGTGCTCAGACAGTCCTTGCATGCTCTTGCAAACCCAGTGCACAGGGATAAAGCTGGGAAAATTTGCCTGCAAAATGGCTGTCCCCCATCACAACCATCACCCAGCTTTGCCTTATGTGGGAGAGCCGATGGTAACACAGGCTGCAAGGAGCAGAGTACAGTGGCCACCAAACCCAGGAACCAGAGGTGTGAGGAGTGGCCTTTGTGTGATGCCTTCCACCTTACCAGCCATCATCTTCTGGGCTTCATATGGCTCCATATATCCGTCATTCTCCATCACCTTCTCCAGCCCTGCCTGGCTGCCTGCCACCTGTGCCGCATCAAAGGGGTCTGCATAGTCCTCCAGGACAGCCAGCTGGAAGGGGGAAAAATAGGAAAAGGGTTAAGGCACTTGCTGCTTGTTTTTGGAGATGGAAGGCACAGCTCACCATGAGCTCCTCCATCAGCAGCCAGAGCGTCCACCAAGAACTCAAACCGACATCATGGCAGCCCTGCAGAGCCCTGCAAGCAGCTGACAGCTTTCCAGGCACAGGCACTCAGCCGTGGAAATGCTCCAGCCTTTGTCCCGAAAGCTGAGATAGAGCCAAGCAGAGCAGAAGGCAGCTCCGCCCCTCCCTCACCAGGCCCCAAGTGCTAGCACCCACATGCATGCCCTGGCCAGGTCCCCACCACGGTGCAGGGCTGCCAGCAGTGCCCTACCCCTCTATGGAACACAGATGCTGTCCTGCACACAGCCACATTTCCTTTCCCAAGGTGGAGAAGGGGCACAGACCCCAAAACAGGGGTATCAGCTGGCACTGGCACAACTAGGAACTCACTGGTTATTTTCCAGGGCTCCTGTGCACTTATTTCAAGAGCTTTTCTAACAAAAGGGCTAAGAATAGCCTATGGCTTCCTCTACACTCCTTCCCATGCCTCCACAGCATCCCCAGACACATCCTAAGTTAAGACAAGATAGAGCCTTCCTCCAGGAAGCAGAAGCAGGAGCTTCTCATGTCACAGGGTCAGTATTAAATTCCTGAGATTTGCACTCAAAAGGAGAGGATCCTGCAATAGGATATGGGGCATGTCCCAGAGCTCAGTCCCCTCCAGCCCTGGAGCCACGTGCCTGCTCCAGCATCTCAGCAGCTTCCCAGTCAGAGCACCCCATCATGTGCCACTGCAGTCCCCAAGAAGCCTGGAGCTGTACATCCCACCTGCAGCCCCAAAGCCTGCTTCTGAAGTGGGACCAGTCAGTGTTTCCAGCCGCAACTAAGTGCACCCAAGCACTTCAGCAGGGTTTGGTCACCTACCAGGATGCAAACCCCTGGCTTGGGGGGATTTGCTACCACAAAATGGGCTATGCTGATGTCCCACAGCAAGGACCAATGTCCCAGGCATGGTGTAGCAGCTGCCGAATACCACCTGATGCCAGGCTCCATCCTCACCACAGTGCTGCCCCACAGCTGTGGCTCCTCACCAGCCACAGAGACCACAGCTACTCACACATTCCTCTGGACCTCCAATAATCAGCTTAAAACAAAAGATTTCTCCCTCCTTCCTGTGCAAAATGCCCAACAATAGCCTGTGACAGAAGACCCAGCAGGAAAAAGGAACAGGAACTGAACTCTAAACACCTCCATGCAGTCCCAAGACTTGGCATTCCTGTGAGCTACATGAGGCACACGGCTCTCCAGGCCTGGCTCACCACCTCCTCCCTAAATGTCCCAGCTCCATGGGCTGCCAATGCATGGGGGAACTGGGTCAGCTCTCCAAGCCTGGTCCCTCCGTGCCGGGGCATGGGCAAGTAGCTGATCATCCTTAGACCACATCCCAGCTACCCCACAGGTGTAGAACAGGGTTCAGACATGGGAGCTGCAGATGCTCTCGCCTCAGCAAGGTGGCAGAGGACAGATGGTGTCAGAGTACTGGCTTCACCCCAGGCAGAGGACAGCAAGCCAGGACAGAGCTGCAGGAGCAGCCAGCCCCAGCTCTGCAGTGGGAGACAGGCAATCTGCTCTCACCTCTGTCATCAAAGGGGTGATGTGGCATCACTCAGGCCCCATCAGGCACTGGGGACACGAAAGAGCAGTGCTGAGCCCAGGGGCCTGCAGCCCTTTGCTTGCCACCAGGGAGAAATTCCCCAGGGGAAATGCAAGTCGCTGGTGACTTTTACAGCTGCTTGGTCAGCCAGGACCTGCTTCTCACCTGCTGCCTGTGAGATCTCCGTGGAGCCGCTCCCAATAGCCAGGAGATCCCACGGCCTCTCCCATGCCTCGAAAGCTGCAGAGGCTCTTGCTGCACCTCAACATCTGCAAAGCACAGCCCTGTGACAGTAACAGCATCTTCACATATGTGCTCAAGACAATGGAGACATGGGCATGCCAGCAGCGTCCCTACACACACAAATGCTTCAGCTCAACAGCCAAGGTGGGTGAATGGGCAGCATCATGTCCAATGCTAACTCTTAGCAGAGCTCTCATGGCTCCAAGCATGCTGGGGGGCTGTGAGATGCAGTTTGCTGACCCTCCTGGGCTTTGTAGTCTGTTCCTCAGGCCCCAAGCCCAACCAGATCATGTTCAAACCTGCCAGGAACCATATTTTCTAGACAGGCACAGACCCATCTTGCTGCTGGTGCCAGTCCTGGACCCTCCCTCTGCATCATACACACACAGCAGCTTCAGACAGGGCCAAGAGGCTTCCCCGCATGCAGTGGTCACTGTCATAGAATCATTAAGGTTGGAAAAGACCTCCAAGATCATCAAGCCCAACCTTATTTCCAAATGTATTTCCTTATGTTTAGTCTGGCTTCCCAGGGAGGAACACATAAGCTCCAGCAGGCTCACAGAGTGGCTCCCACACAGATGCTTTCAGGTCTAGAAACCAGAAGATGGTGGAGAATCCTAACAGGTCTCTGTCAAGACCCCTAAAACTGGGTATTTTGCCTGCAGAAGTTTGCAAAGGCATTCACCAGAGATTAGATGGACTCTGTTGGCAGAGGATGTGGTTTGCTGGGTTCAGCTTGGACCCAGAGCAAATGCCTCTGATTAGAGGCAAGCTCCTTGGGTTTGGGGGGAGTTTGCTTCTCCACTAGCTCAAGGATGCCACTTCATAGGAGCAAGGTCTCCCAGCTGTAAGGTAATGAGAACATAAATCCATTTGTTTTTTAAATGGTCAGATATCACAGCAGAGAGCCACAGAAAAGGTGGGAAGGAAATTACTGCCTCCAGGAGCATCACAACCTTGGGATGCCCAAGCAAGCCCATGAGAATGGTACCTCAAGCCCCAAGACTGAGAGGCTGGAGGCTCCAGCCAGTGGCAGGAATGGGGCAAACAGCAGGGATCATGCAATTACTGGGCACATCCTAAAGCCCTTGCACCTGGGGCTGTGTTATGGTTGCCCAGGAAACTGCATCTCTGATATTTCCTAATCTGAGTGCTGGACTTTATGAGCCATGCAGGGCTCTCAGCAGCAGCCACAGGGCAAACGACTACTCCCAAGAGTGGGAGGGAGCCTCAGCCACCAGCAGGGCAGCTCCCAGGGGTGCTCTAAGCGCCCCCACTTTGGTCAAAGGTCAGGCATTTCCATGCTTTGCTCAAGTTCCATGTTGCTGAGGGAGCTGCTCGTTGCCCGCCAATCCCACCACACGGCTGTGGAGGCTTCGCCTGCTTACACATAGCACAGGCTTTGCTAGACTTGAAATAATTTGGGTGCAAAGCAAAAGCCTGACATGCAAAGCCACCATCCCAGGGCAGCTCTTAGTCCAGACCAGTCCTTTAGGTAACAGCCAAGCACTACTGGCATCTGGACACATATCCTGCTTGAGCACGAGTGTTTTTCCACACATTTATCTGCCACAGCAATGCACACCCAGATCCCTGCTGCAACACTGGGGCTGGTCTCGCTCTATTCTACATTCCAACAATAAGGGTAAAGAAAGAAAATCCAAACAAAATTACTGTAAAGAACCAAATCATCACCGGGTTCTCCCAGTCAAACAGCTTTTACACTGCCCACCAGTGAAGGTGACTGATCACAGCTCTTCGAGAGCACTCATAGTTCAGACACCAAACTCCCGGGGCAGAGCTGGGATTCTTTGTGCCATCTTGCCCAGAAACATTCTACCTGCTACCACCTTCTGCTACAACAAGATGTTCTACTCTACACAGAGGTTTGCAGAGGATTCCTGGGGAGATCCTCCACCTAAAAAATTAGTTTCCCACCCTGGAGGTGAAGTGCATTTGGGGTCTCCTCAGAAGATTGGTTAAATCAGGCAAACTCTGTCAGGTGCAAAATTCCTCCAGTTTTACACATCTGGCAGCTTTACTTTTGGCAGACACTGAAGCCAAACCCAAAAGCAAACACAGTGTTGACCTTACAAGAAGGGTCTGGCCCACAGGGGACGGCTGGGTCAGGCAGGGAGCCGAGGGCTGCACCCATGGCACAGCAGGAGGGCATGCGGGACGGACAGCACGGCATCAGCATCGCGTAGGATGACTCAGTTTGAGGAGGCTCTCACAGGAAAGACACACACCCAAGAGCTTCCTGACAGGCTGTTCCCACACCCTGAGGCACTGACCCTGCACATCCAGCAAGAAGAGCAGCAACTGGTCCTGGTGGGCACAGGACAAAGATGTCCTCAGGCAGATCCCCAAGTCCATCCTCAAGCACGCCCTAGGTGCAGGCAGCAGAAGGTCCCTCATCGCATCCCTCCCCACTGCATCCCTGTGGCATTGCTTCTTGTGCCTAATCCAAACACAGCAGGGAAGACATCTCCAGAGGATCCTCTTGGCTCGGGTGAACTGCACAGGCCCAGTCCATCGTCCACTGCTGTGGGGAAAGGCCTGGCAGACCAGGCAGACTGAGGAGGACCTGTGCTGTCCACACCATTTCCAGCAGTTTGGGAAGCAACACAAGCCACTGCAGAGATCACTCTAATGCATCCTCACAGGATGCTGCAGATCCCATGAAAGGCATAAAGATATGACGGCTTGTGCTACAGCAGCAAAGCAATGTGCAGCCCAGGCAGGAAGGATTCCTGTGCCAAGATGTTCCTGCTCATTCCATTCTCCAGAGCAGGCATGACAGTTACAGCAAGCACAGGGTGCCTAGGGAACATAGTCATCCCTCCACTACAACAAACCACACGGTCTCAGCCAAACCACACAATCAGGAACCAGTGTCTGCTCTTACTACTTCTCTCCATCCTAATCGTCCTCACTTGCAAGGGCTGCACATTTTATTAGAGTGATTTTCCCCATCAGTCATTAACAAAAACCCTCTCTGCTCCAGCAGCTTTGTCTATACACAGAATTGTACTTCTCCTTTAATCTCCAGCATCACCACAACCCAAGGGGTCTGCAGTCTCAGTCCCT